TTTTATAATGTTACAAAAGATTTCTGTTTCACATTCATCAAAGAATCCTGGAAAAATGTAAAATAAAAATATATATACAGTGGTGTGAAAAAGTGTTGGCCCCCTTGCTGATTTATTATTTTTTTGCATGTTTGTCACACTTTAATGTTTCAGATCATCAAACTAATTTAAATATTAGTCAAAGATAACACAAGTAAACACAACATGCAGTTTTTAAATGAAGGTTTTTATTATTAAGGGAAAACAAAATCCAAAACTACATGGCCCTGTGTGAAAAAGTGTTTGCCCCCTGTTAAAACTGTGGTTTATCACACCTGTGTTCAATTTCTCTAGCCACACAGCACTATTTACAACGATAAAAATAAATATTTATTGAGCAGCAAATCAGCATATTAGAATGATTTCTGAAGGATCATGTGACACTGAAGTCTGAGTAATGGCTGCTGAAAATTCAGTTTTGCCATTACAGAAATAAAATACATTTTAAAACATATTCAAATAGAAAACATTTATTTTAAATTATAATAATGTTTCACAACATTTCTGTTTTAATACATTAATATTAATATATAAATATTACATTAATACATTTTTATTTGAATGGTGATGTATTGTATATAGGCATGAAATATCGATTAACTAATCAGAATCAATTCTAGAGAGTGTTAAACATTTTGTTTTAATATTTAGTATTTTTCAGACTGTTTTCACTTCCCATTTTTTTTATTGTGCAATTGGTGTATTTTTTGAACAGGGATCTATGTCAGTGGGACAGAGCTGCGAAAGCTGATTTTGCCAAAAACAGCATCTTTTCAGGAGAAGCTGAAGCTGCACAAAGATGTGCTGTGTGCCAGACACCCACCAGTTTTTCACGAGTGGTTCCTACGGACGTTTCCTGATCCCACCTCTTGGTATACTGTATATTACAGGCTTTCAGAGTTGTATTCATATTCATAGTATCTTTGCACAGTAATATGCTAAATGTTTCTTAGTATTAGCTATTAAAGTGAATTTTGAGTAATTCATTAGAAAAGCACTTACTTGAATGTCTTCACACACGGGGCAAATGTGGCATTTCACAGGTACAACAGCAGGTCTGCTTACTGTCGCTCTACTGCGGTCATGTCTATGGTGGGCTATATTCTTGGCCTTGGCGATCGCCATGGAGAGAACATTTTGTTTGACTCCCTAACTGGCGAGTGTGTACATGTGGACTTCAACGGCCTCTTCAACAAGGTGAGATGAATGAGGAATGTGACAATTTTATTACTCCCTATATTTGTTATCTTGGGGTAACTGAAGAATAAATGTGTTTTTGGTGCTTAAGGGAGAGACATTTGATGTTCCTGATGTGGTTCCCTTCCGGCTCACTCAGAACATGGTTCATGCGATGGGGCCGATGGGCACAAAGGGCTTGTTCAGACAGGCCTGTGAAGTCACACTCAGACTCATGAGGGACCAGAGAGAGCCACTCATGAGGTGAACATCTCTGAACTTACACTACAGTTCAAAAGTTTGGGGTTGATTAGATTTTTTTTTAAATATTTTTGAAATAAGTCTCTTATTCTCACCAAGGCTGCATTTATTTGATTAAAAATACAGGACTAACTGTTATATGGTGAAATATTATCATTTATAATAACTGTTATTGTTTTAATATATTTTAAAATGTAACTTATTCCTGTGATGACCATTTTCAGCAGCCATTACTCCAGTCTTCAGTGTCACATGATCCATCAGAATTCATTCTGATATGCTAATTTGGTGCTCAAGGAACATTTATTATTATCAGTGTTAAAAACTTTTGTGCTGTTTAATAATTGTAATGGAAACCATGATGCATTCTTTTTCCAATTCTGAAAAAATATTGATAAATAGAAGGTTTAAAAGAACAGCCTTTATTTGAAATAGAAACCTGTGTAACCTTACAGATGTCTTTACTGTCACTTTTGATCAAATTTAATGTTAATGAAATAAGTGAAGAGTTCAGATGCAATAGCCTCTAAGTGCCGCATGAAAGTTTCTTCTAAAATGAGCATTTTTCTCAGGCTCCTATGTTTATGTTCAGTTATTTCACTTGAATGGCAATGAAAAGAACCTATTCATTGCCATTAAAGTGAAATTACTGAACCTACACATAGGAGCCTGATAAAAATGCTCATTTTATAAGAACATTTCAAATGGCACTTTTTTGCATCTGAACTCTTCAAGTATCAATTTCTTTCAAAATAAAAACATACTGGCCCCTAACTTTTGAACGGAAGTATCATACATGCTGAAACATACATATCCATATCACCTCAGTTGCTCTCACTACTACTTGATGTTTATTATTTTTCTTTTTTGGTATATTATTTATCAATGGTTAAAGATTGACCAGTATTCTTTTTTTTATGACAGATGTTACGGATTAACCCTTTGGGGTCGACTAACGCAGATACTAACGCGGATTTTCACATAATTTTGAAGCAAAAACTCTAGACTTCAAGATCAGTTCTCAAAAGTCTTGTGATCAAATGTTCTGTATGTGTTTTATGGCCTTATTTCAGTGACTTTAAAATATGCATAAACGTTGTTTTCTCAAAAACACAATCACGTACATACATGCTGCCCACATATTATTGTAGCCCAGTTTGTGCTGATTACAGTGTTATTATACTTTAGACATTCAAATGTTTGTAAGCAACTGAAAAAAGCACAAATGTCAGGGCATGTCAAAACTTTTCCAGGCCCCAAAACACCCTCGGACCCCAGAGGGTTAAGATTATGTTTATGGTTAAATGTTCAACCTCATATGCATTGGACTACAACAACCAAGGCAAAATATTCAATATGAATATTTTAATTATTTTAATGAATTTGTAACACTGTTTATGATTTTTATGTATTTTTTTTGCAATCTAAATAATCTCTTTTGAGCTTAAAATCCAATGCTTTTCTCAATTGTAAATTAGTGCATTAAATAAGTAAGCTACTTTACCTGTAAACACTGTTATGTTCTTGTTGAATGCACAGTAGCGTTGAGTGTGTTTGATTTGTGTTTGGTTGAGTGTGTTTGAGTGTGTATGTTGAGTGTGTTTGATTTGCGTAATGAGTTGAACAATTTCATACAGTATTTGTATAATACTTAAAATTTCATGGTGTCTTTTTATTCCATTTCACCAGTGTTTTAAAAACATTCCTGCATGATCCTTTGGTAGAGTGGAGTAAACCTGTCAATGAATCTGGAGAGATCCTCAATGAGAAGGTACTTAGTAACTTCAGCCTGAATGAAGATCCTTACCTATATGACGTCTATCATATGTGCTTTTATATTCAGCTAAGCAGGCTTGAATTATGAATAAACATAAGGCATTATGGTTAGAAATTAGAATACACCTGCTTTGAGTACTTTAAGTGTCTCGTCTTTACATGCAATTTGAGCTGCTGCATTTTAACTATAGATTAAGTAATGAGTTGTAAATAGCCATAATTTGATTTTGTTCCACTCTAGGCTAAGACTCATGTTCTGGACATAGAGCAGCGTCTTCAGGGAGTGATCAAGAACAGGAATAAAGTGATGGGCCTGCCTCTGTCCATTGAGGGCCATGTACACTACCTCATTCGGGAAGCCACGGATGATAACCTCCTGTGCCTCATGTACCTTGGATGGGGTCCTTATCTGTGATCGACTTTTGCACTTCAGAGTTGGAGAGCATAATATTTCTGTTTAGCTCTGCCTTTTTTCAAAAATGGTTATGTTTGTCAGTGTTATTTTCAGTGTTCCTCAAAAGGTTAATTACATTTAGTTCACATTTCAAGAAGCTTCATTCTTTTGTGTTTTGTTTTGAAGGAATTCACAAGTAAAATATTAGCATTAGCTTTTAGCACTAAATATTTTAAATGATTCTGCGGATTCAAATAAGCTTTTTTTTTTAAATATAGCTGGAGTGGTATTAGTGGGTTGTGATACACCGGTTTTCTTTCATTTTTTTTAGGGGAATATATTTGTTAATATTGCTTTTTCCGTTTGAGATGAGCCCAGAGGCTTTATGTTTCTCAACCAGAAATGTTATGAAAGCCCGACAGTGATATTTCAGTGTCCACAGAGTGTGAGAACGTTCCGCGCTCATTGTATCCAGGCGTATGATCAGTGAGTGATGATGCTGTGTTGTGAGCGTTATTCTGTCTTCTGATTGGCTATCGTAATTATCTTCACACGCTCGCTGACAGCCAGAGCATCCCATCTTGTCACGCGCCTGTGAGCCACCATCTCCCGCCAAACGCCTTCTGTCACAATCTGCTTCAGGTATGTATTGAAATGGCGTGCCATTCGAATTTGTTTATTTATTGGAATTCAGTGTACTTTGTTTTAGGCAAAAACGTGTGTATCAAGGCGTTGCTCAAATGAAATCGAACGACGAACTGCAAGCCAGTAACGTTACGTTAGGGCAGAGTACGTTACAAACAGGAGTTATTCCTAAATATAAAATCAATGGAATTTTGTTATTGTCAGGCATTTACGATTGGCTCATTACCGTTAGAATGACCCGTTGTTTATTGGACGTTATAGAGCCACATAATGCTCAATCTTGTCGTAATATATGCTACTTGTGTGACCTATTTTATAAGCTACACAGACTGTCCTTGTGGTATCAAATTTGAGTTACAGTTAAAAGATATCGTTATTAACGAAGTGTTTCAGTCAAACGAAGTGCACAATAACATCCTTTTCTTCTTCTTCTTACAAATCAACCTGTCATCTGCTTTAAAATATACTGTAGCTATGCGTAGTATAAATGCTACTAGATGTATTGCAATTTCCCCGATTACGTCAAATAATAGCATACATCAAAATAATATTGTCGCTGTTCTGTTTAATATTACTGAATGTTTTTCACATATGTATGGCAGTGAATGTTTTAGCTGTCAGGAATAATAAAAAACAGACACGGGCTATGTGGGACCTGCATTACAATTATGTGAATGAGTTTATTTATTATTCAGCTGATAAGAGCTTAATGTTTTTTTTTGCTGGATGTGGTGAGATATTTGCTGATGATCTCGTATCACCTGAGGGGGTTCTTAGCCCAGAGCGTCACAAAGTTGCCTGTGAACCTCCAAAACAAAGCCCTACTACTGCAGGTTTCCAGGGAGGTAAGGAATGTCTGGCCTCTCCAGCTCACGCTGAGGTCTTGGACATGTTTGGGTTGTGGGAAACCCTAAACAGAACTTTGCTATTAGGGCAAAGTTCAAAAGCACCAGGACATGCAACAAAATCCACAACACCTATCACAAAATCTCCTTCCACAACCAAGTCTGAAGATGTAACAGCAAATACACCACGACCTGTAGAATCCGAGATCAGGGAATTTAATACTTATGTGATAACACCCAAAAGTGACAACCAAGGGAACACCAGTGATGAGGGCTACTGTGATCATGTTTCTCCTGGTTTTGAGGACCACAGCAGAAGTTCCCTCAGTCCAGTGCATTCCAGTAAGTTCCCTAGGGATACGTACAGTGGAGATGCTCTTTATGAGCTATTCTGTGACCCAAGCGAGGCAGAGATTACCCCGATCTTTGATGACGAGCTCGATCTAACAGACAGCATTGTTGGCCAGTGCAGTGATCTTCCATTGTCCATGTACAGCTTCCATGTTGGAGCAGAGGAGAATCTTGCCCCACCTTTGGCTCAGGACTTTGTTGGTCAAGAGCTTCTGCAAAGTAAATGGATGGGGAAGGATTGCTTACTAAAGCTTTGTGACACTGAGATATCTATGGCTATGGGTATAGTTAACTGGCTAAAGCATAGGACAGACAAAAGCAACCCAACAGAATTGAGATCTTCAAAAATTAACAGGGAAGATGCAAGAGATGCATGTCTGAGATGCAAAACCCAGTCAGCAAGGGTTAGAAAACCAACAAAAGGAGCAAGAACTGTTATCGGTAGAGGAGACACTGTTAATTTCAAAGAGTCAAGTCAAAAAAGTGTTGGTGTTCTGCCCTCAAAATATGATGCAAATACAGTGATGTCAACCTTGGCCTCTCCAGAGAGCCAACCCAGGACCCCAATGAGTGGTGTGTGTTTCAGGATATTCAATATCGACTCTCCTATGACTCCAGGTAGAGATTTGCAGTCCCCAGTGGTAAGCTCCCCTGGCTCTGGGACAAGGTCTTTGTTTGTGTTGGCCATAAACAAGGATTCTCTTTGTGAATCCTGCAAGAATTCCCTGAAAAATGGAGCTAAAGAAATGCACCTGTGCCGTTCTTGTATCTCCCTCATTGAGCACATCAAGACTTCAGACCTTTGGGCCCATGCCAGTCTTCCCAGATCCACTCCAGCTCCACAGCCAATAACCAGAGACCTATTCTCTCCAGCCAGCACCTGTGGGATAAGAAGTGACATCAGCATAGCTTCCCTTGTTGAGCAGTGTGCTAGTCAATTGTCTTCTTTGAAAATCAACTTAACTCAAGCTCACTCAAGCTGTAAGATACGAGATGCCCTTGTGCTTGATCAAGGGGCAAAACGGAACAAAGAACAGTCTGAAAAATACATAAAGTCAAAGCACAAGAAAAGGCCAGTGGCAACTACTGAGAGAGGCTTGCATGCTAGACATCGCTTGAGGAGGTCCAGCTTTTCTGAAGATGTGAAACCTTCCCTTTTAGAGATGGAGGGACTTGTCACTACCAATGCTTCCGATGATTTGGTGTTGGAAACTTATGGTCCATGTGATGTTGAATCTGGTGATGCAGACGTATCTCAAGCTACCAGGCCTACATCTCTTCCTCTCATGGCCTCTGCCTCTTCAGATTTTTTTTGCAGAGAGGACCACCATAATAAGGTGGAAGAGGGAAACCCATCCAAAAAGAAGCATAGATTACGGCATCACAGGAAGTCTGCTGTGAATAGTGAGGGATCATGCAGTGTCTTTCCAGGGGATAGAAAAGTAGAACGCTAAGAACTGTTATCGGTAGAGGAGACATTGTTAATTTCAAAGAGACAAGTCAAAAAAGTGTTGGTGTTCTGCCCTCAAAATATGATGCAAATACAGTGATGTCAACCTTGGCCTCTCCAGAGAGCCAACCCAGGACCCCAATGAGTGGTGTGTGTTTCAGGATATTCAATATCGACTCTCCTATGACTCCAGGTAGAGATTTGCAGTCCCCAGTGGTAAGCTCCCCTGGCTCTGGGACAAGGTCTTTGTTTGTGTTGGCCATAAACAAGGATTCTCTTTGTGAATCCTGCAAGAATTCCCTGAAAAATGGAGCTAAAGAAATGCACCTGTGCCGTTCTTGTATCTCCCTCATTGAGCACATCAAGACTTCAGACCTTTGGGCCCATGCCAGTCTTCCCAGATCCACTCCAGCTCCACAGCCAATAACCAGAGACCTATTCTCTCCAGCCAGCACCTGTGGGATAAGAAGTGACATCAGCATAGCTTCCCTTGTTGAGCAGTGTGCTAGTCAATTGTCTTCTTTGAAAATCAACTTAACTCAAGCTCACTCAAGCTGTAAGATACGAGATGCCCTTGTGCTTGATCAAGGGGCAAAACGGAACAAAGAACAGTCGGAAAAATACATAAAGTCAAAGCACAAGAAAAGGCCAGTGGCAACTACTGAGAGAGGCTTGCATGCTAGACATCGCTTGAGGAGGTCCAGCTTTTCTGAAGATGTGAAACCTTCCCTTTTAGAGATGGAGGGACTTGTCACTACCAATGCTTCCGATGATTTGGTGTTGGAAACTTATGGTCCATGTGATGTTGAATCTGGTGATGCAGACGTATCTCAAGCTACCAGGCCTACATCTCTTCCTCTCATGGCCTCTGCCTCTTCAGATTTTTTTTGCAGAGAGGACCACCATAATAAGGTGGAAGAGGGAAACCCATCCAAAAAGAAGCATAGATTACGGCATCACAGGAAGTCTGCTGTGACTAGTGAGGGATCATGCAGTGTCTTTCCAGGGGATAGGAAAGTAGAACGCAGATGCAGAATGAAGAATTGAAACAGGTGCTGGATTTATCTAATCAAGAGTTAGCACATATTTGCACAATTATGTCTTTTCAGTGCTCATCCATCCATCCATCATTTAACATTAAATATAATACAATAATTGCAATCTGCAGTCTAAAATATATTTAGACACTTGCCACACTGCAGGACATTGCCACTGTCACACGTCATGTTGACTATCCAGTTCATATATTTATTTTTTTTGTGTGAAAATTTCCAAAGCTCTAGATTTCAAGGGTTGACACTCTTATTATGGTTTAGGACAATGTGTCTTGTCATGCATAAAGTATTGCATACATATATATGTTTACATTATGTATTTGCTTGATTTGTAGCTTTCCAAATCACTGTAATCTTACTGCGAGAAAAATAGAGCTAAAAAAGTTTCCTTATTAATGACTGTAGGGGTGCTTGAGAAGCACCTGTGCTAGTGAGGCCTCAGAGGAAACATGTCACTTAGTCCTTCATCCTGCTGTCAAATTCTCACATGCCTTGCAGGTATACGGAAAAATACATAAAGTCAAAGCACAAGAAAAGGCCAGTGGCAACTACTGAGAGAGGCTTGCATGCTAGACATGGCTTGAGGAGGTCCAGCTTTTCTGAAGATGTGAAACCTTCCCTTTTAGAGACGGAGGGACTTGTCACTACCAATGCTTCCGATGATTTGGTGTTGGAAACTTATGGCCCATGTGATGTTGAATCTGGTGATGCAGACGTATCTCAAGCTACCAGGCCTACATCTCTTCCTCTCATGGCCTCTGCCTCTTCAGATTTTTTTTGCAGAGAGGACCACCATAATAAGGTGGAAGAGGGAAACCCATCCAAAAAGAAGCATAGATTACGGCATCACAGGAAGTCTGCTGTGAATAGTGAGGGATCATGCAGTGTCTTTCCAGGGGATAGGAAAGTAGAACGCAGATGCCGAATGAAGAATTGAAACAGGTGCTGGATTTATCTAATCAAGAGTTAGCACATATTTGCACAATTATGTCTTTTCAGTGCTCATCCATCCATCCATCCATCATTTAACATTAAATATAATACAATAATTGCAATCTGCAGTCTAAAATATATTTAGACACTTGCCACACTGCAGGACATTGCCACTGTCACACGTCATGTTGACTATCCAGTTCATATATTTGTTTTTTTTTTGCGTGAAAATTTCCAAAGCTCTAGATTTCAAGTGTTGACACTCTTATTATGGTTTAGGACAATTTGTCTTGTCATGCATAAAGTATTGCATACATATATATGTTTACATTATGTATTTGCTTGATTTGTAGCTTTCCAAATCACTGTAATCTTACTGCGAGAAAAATAGAGCTAAAAAAGTTTCCTTATTAATGACTGTAGGGGTGCTTGAGAAGCACCTGTGCTAGTGAGGTCTCAGAGGAAACATGTCACTTAGTCCTTCATCCTGCTGTCAAATTCTCACATGCCTTGCAGGTATACTCACAGCAAGCACTTTCTCCTCTTGTTCACTCACAAACAGTGGCAAGAGGTGAACAAATTGGCATGCTGTACTGTAACAGGCTGTCAGTTGCAGGAGGTGAGCATTATGCAGTTTTTAAATAAATACAATAGGAAAATTGGAAAGGTTCAACAACATAATACTAAATATATTCTAATGTCTTCTTTAAAGCATTTTCAAAGTAGTTTATTTTTACAACTTATGCAGTCTTTATAGTGCAGAAGCACATTTTGCAGATCAGGGCCTTTAAAACCTCTTCTTTAATTACATCATAAGGGAGTAGGTGGCCACTGTTTTGTGCTTGTGTCAGGGGAAGTGTTTGTGTCTCAGAGTTTCAAGGCTTTTTGGGAATGATTCTGCTGTAGCTGGGTCAGCAGATGTGCTCGAAGACTGATCTATAGGTTGTTTGGTGTGTGCGTCACTGAGCATTGATGGACTCGATGTGTAATTAGGATTTTAGGGGGAGGGAGGGTTTTAGTCGTTTGGTCTATTATTAGTACTCTCATGCAAACTATTCCACAAAAAAAGATATGGATACATTGAAATCTACAATAAGCATTGTCTCTATGGGTTTGTTACTTACTTGACACCTTTAGAATTATAGTTCTCCAGGCGAGAGTGTTTGGAGTAAATTAATGAGCACTAAGGATAGCAGAGCTGCTTTTGATAGGGCTTCAAGGTCAGATATCCTCCCTACATATCTGTCTTGTTATATATTTCAGCTGATATCTTGAAACCATAGCAACAGCACTTAGATGGGAAAGCTCTCAGTATATTGACAGTGTACCAGCATGAATGTGGAAATGATGATAGTGTCGTTAGCTTCTGATTTAGGATTTGATGCTGCAGGTAATTCTTTCATGTGATTGTTTTATATTCCTTAGGTGTATAGAGTTGTGTTTTGATGATGATTTTATTGTTTTTATTTTGCTTAGATCCTTTTTGGTGATTAGGAATTTTTGTCTAAAAAGAAAACACCTGACCTGTGGTAATTAATCATTTAAAATGATAACGGTGGAACTGAAAGGAAATGGAATTTGAGGAGAATAGCTTGTTAATAATTTAACAAGGCTGTCTGGCCCTGTTGACAAAGAATTTGATTCAAATTTAAAATGTCCTAAATTATTTTTTTCTTTGTGTAAACTTTTGATGGACATTTTACAGCCTTTTTGCAAATCTGCCTACCTCATTTCTGCTGCTAAAAGGGGCCCCAAAATGTGGGTATCACAAGAGCACTGATTGTGTCAGATTGCAGGTTGCTACATACTTATTTACTCTTAAGGAACATTTATGTGTGATTAGAAGATCTGTAAAGTTGCAAAGACGAAAGTCTCAGATTCAAAGAGATATTCTTTATAAAAGTTAAGTCAACCACGCCTACCTAAAATGGCTCGTTCTAACACGCCCCCACATGTCTACGTCACAATGTGGGAAGATTTGCATAACTGCGCCCAAATGTTCAGGCAAAGAAAGAAGGCGTAACATTTATTCTCGCTGTAGTATTGTTGCTGCCGCCATGTCGTGAAGGCACTGTGTGTTTTGTTGTGAAAGCGAAACTACTTTATTTGGCCTTCCAAAAGAGGACGATATCTGCTTCGTCATGCCTAGAGCTGATCCGTGCTGGTCGCTGAGGAAATACATCAACTTCGCACTGTGGATCGTCGGACCGGCTTTCACCGTGGACGAAGCGGAGTCCAGCCCGGGGTCATCACATGTGGTTGCCGCAAGCCCGCCGGACACTCCTTCGTCGAATCCGCTGGCCACGCCGTTCTCAAGCCCGCCCACCTCCGCTCACTCAAGGCCGCCGTGTGTGGCGCTGTGTTTCGTTGTGAAAGCGAAACTACTTTGTTTGGCCTTCCAAAAGAGGACACGACTAGAAATCAGTGGTTAAGTTGTATTTACAACACTGTTCCAGAACATTTCAACCCAAATATTCAGATGTGTGCAGCACATTTTATGGAGGACTGTTTCCTGATCCTGGTAGAGTAGACTACAATGCCGGCTGTTCTGACTCACAGACTGTAAGTACGTTTTTTATATATAAAGAATTTGCCACTGACGATTCAAACACGAGTTTTGAGCAGTGTAGAGTAGCACTTGTTGTTTGTCATTTCTCCGATCACAAATGCAGACATGGTTTTATGTTTATGCAGCGCGATGCAATGCATAAAAAGACAGTATAATTAATTATAATCCGTAATTATGTCCCCACTGGATGCAACAAATGCCTAGTTTATAATGGGTTTTAATGTTTTTGTCTCGTCGCTCCGGCCGGACGGCATCACAGTATGGTAGGGGCGTAACATTTCCGTCACACGCTTGAGGTATTCGGCCAATCACAACACACTGGATAGCTGGCCAGTCACAGCACACCTCGCTTTTCAGACCGATGAGCTTTGTAAAAATCGATGCGTTTCAGAAAGGCGGTGCATAGAGGAGAAACAATAATGTACAGTATGTGGGAAATAATGCATT